CAGATGATATTAGCTTTGAGTTAGTTTTATCTAAACTTAACTCACTAAAAGACAATAAATCAAATGGACCTGATAAACTTTGTTCAATAATCCTCAAGAATTGTGCTATATCGTTTACTTTACCCCTAACTCTTATATTTAGAGAATCGCTTAAAACCAGTCAACTACCAATACAATTTAAGTCAGCAAATGTAACACCAATACATAAAAAAGGTGACAAAACAGTGGCTAGCAATTATCGCCCTATTTCATTAACTTCTATTCCCTGTAAAATATTAGAATCTATTCTAAGAGAAAGAGTTGAAAAACATCTTTACAAAAACAATTTATTAACAATCCAACAGCATGGTTTTGTAAAAGGAAAATCTTGTACCACAAATTTGCTAGAAACTCTTGACTTTATTTCCTCGTGCAACAGCAATGGTTTACCCGTTGATGTAGTAATGCTAGACTTTGCTAAAGCTTTTGATAGTGTTCCTCACAAGAGACTCTTTTCTAAATTGAATGCATATGGTATTAATGGCTTAGCTCTAAAATGGATGGAAGTTTTTCTAAGTAATAGAAGACAAAGAATAGTTCTTGGTGAATTTGTTTCTGAGTGGGTGGAAATATTTAGTGGCGTGCCACAGGGGTCTGTTATTGGACCGTTAATGTTTATTATATACATTAATGATCTGCCAAGTGAATTAATAAATAAAACCAAATTGTTTGCTGATGATACCAAGATATTGTTCAAGGTAACTTTAGACGAGTGTACCTCAATTCTGCAGAGGGATTTGGATGTATCATTTAAATGGACAGAAGACTGGCTTTTAAAGTTCAATGTTGATAAATGCGTAGTAATGCACTATGGAGTAAACAACAAAAAGAACCCTCTATATATTAATGACATAAAGTTACCAGAATCAAACAGCGTAAAAGATCTAGGCATAATATTTTCTAAAAATCTCAAGTTGATAGATCAAGTTATGTCTGTAACAAATAATACAAATAAAATGTTAGGTTGAATCAAAAAATCATTTGCAAGATTGGACTGTTATTCACTTAAATCACTCTATAACCTTTATTCGTCCTTTTCTAGAATTCTCAGTTCCAGTATGGTCCCCATATCAAAAAGGTGACTGTAAAGTAATTGAACAAGTGCAGTGTCGAGCCACCAAACTGATTAAATCAATTAGGTGTTTCAATTATGAGGATCGATTAAAATTTTTGAAATTGACAACTTTAACTAAACGAAGAGAAAGAGGTGATATGATCCAACTATTCAAAATAATGAACAATGTAAATATAACAGAGCATAACTTACAAATTATTCAAAATCATGCTAGAGGTCACTGTTTCAAATATTATAGGGAAACAACAAAAAATCTGCCAAGGCATAATTTCTTTTATAATAGATCGGCAAACTTATAGAACTCATTGCCTTAGTCAATTCATCGTCTGTAAACTCCTTTAAAGCAGGGTTTGACTGTTGGATGAACAACAATCGATGGAAGCGGCTGTCACAGTGTGCCTAAAAGCATGCTCACTGGTCATTCCAGTTACAGCAATAAATACTAACTAACTAACTAACTCTATATATATATATATATATATATATATATATATATATATATATATATATATATATATATATATATATATATATATATGTATGTATGTATGTAGTAACTGATTAACTACAAGAAAAATAAATGATTACTAAACAATTATTCACTTAAACTAGAGTAAATCAAAGAAAAATATAGTAGATTTGTTTAATAAATTACCTAGAAGCTTCTACCCAGCCTTTTCTACTTTTGAGAACATCATAAATTGTATTTTGCATAGCACAGCGAAATCGTATAGGTTGGCCATCAGCACTAAAGGTTTTTAAAATCACAAAAACTTGAAAAAAGGTTTTAAAATATATATTTACTCACTTTTTATTAACTCACAATTTATTTATCTTTTGAGATGACTTCTGTGCTGGCATCTATAAAAAAAAATTGTATTTTGTTTAAATTTTATTTATTATGTTTATTTTTTATTTACTACTTAAAAATAAATATAGTTTATAATAAACTAAAATAAAAACTTTAAAGAAAAAAAATTTTCCAACAAAGCAATAACCAAGCAGCAAAATCTTTCTTTTTAATTCAATTTAATCATAGACAAACTTACTACATAATACACTTACAATGCAAAGCAAGGAGATACTTAATTAAAAGTTAGTCACCCTAAAATGTATATATAATTCACCCTAAAATAAACATAAAAAGTAACAAGCAAAAGACAAACAAACAAAGAGCCAAATATACATCAAAAACAAAAAAATATGAAGGTTTACAAACAAAAAAACAAAAACAATAAAGTATTAAAAAGGAAAGTCATAAATGGTTATCAAAAAAGGCTGAAATGATGACTAAAAAAATACAGCCTAAACAGAAAAAAAAAGAAATCTTGTCTAATTTTTGTTAATTAAAAAGTAAATTTTCAAAAATCATGTTTACATGTGTTTTTAGCAATTAATCTTTACTTATTTTTAACTTTAAATTAATGCTAAATTTGTTTATTTTTTTTCTTCTTATTTTTATTTTTATATAATTTTCAAAAGAGCACCTGTTAAAAAAACAATAAAATTTCAAAAAGTATAGGAATATTGAACAAAAAAAGAAATGATTTTAAATAATCTTAATGAGCAGGGGACATAAAAAAGATGCCTTTTGAATGTTCAAAAAATATTTTATGTTCACTTGGAATATGCTTAGTTTAATTACATTACTCTTTTATTAACAAAAGCATTTATTTATTTTAAAAACAGTTATATTCATGTCATGAATATAACTGTTATCCATGTCATGACTTTATTAGTTCAAACAATAATTGTTTCAACTAATCAAGTCATGACATGTATATAATGAGTATAATTATTATACTTAACATATATGAAGTTTATACTTTTAACATTTTTTATTGTGTTTAAATGTAAAATCAATTTGTCATGGTTTTCTGTTGTTTAAAAACTTCAAAAATGTTAAGAGACTTAAATATAAAAAAAAATGATATTTAAAAAAAAATTATAAGCTTTTAATTTTACAAATTTTGGAATATATTATACAAATCAATTATTTAAATAATTTTAATATAATAATAAATTTCTCTTTTATATCAAATTTCTTATTTCAAGACATTTTAAAATTTATAAACTTTATTTGAAAGCAGTTAACGTAATTAGATCATAGCTAGAATTTGCAACATGCATTTAAATATTTTATAAGTAGTACATTACATTAAGTCCTAATGTACTAATTTTTATAATTATATATATATATATATATATATATATATATATATATATATATATATATATATATATATATATATATATATATATATATATATATTTATATATATGTATATATATATATATATATATATATATATATATATATATATATATATATATATATATATATATATATATATATATATATATATAGTATATATATATATATATATATATATATATATATATATATATATATATATATATATATATATATATGTATATATATATATATATATATATATATATATATATATATATATATATATATATATATATATATATATATATATATATATATATATATATATATATATATATATAATAAAGTAATATCAATAATATTATTATTGATATTTTTTTATAGCTTTGTTTATAGTTTTCTCGCTTTAAACTGTTTTTACTAGCAATCGAGACAAAGTTACTAAAGTGTTCTAGAAGCGATTGAAAAAGTTAACACTGCGTAGTCATCGTGACGATGCATTACGTCTTCAATTACGTAACTGCATCGTCACGATGATCCATGCCGTTACGAAAGGATATAAATGTAACGAAAGTTTGTTCTTTTTAACATTTTATAGTTTAAAAAGATGGCAAACTCTTTAAAAAGTGACCTTATGTCGTTTGGAATGCATTGTTCTTACCCATTTTGTAGAAGACTTGACTTTCTCCCATTTAAATGTGATACTTGTGAGGTATTTTATTGGTAGGTAACTTATCAAAACTATTTTTTATTTTTGAACTGGAAAAGTTTAAAACTTGTCCGAGTATGTATTTTCTTTCTAACATTATTCTCTATTTGTTATAGCGTGAATCATTTCAAACCCCTGCAGCATAATTGCCAAAAACAGCAAATAAGAGAAGTATATATTTGTCTTATAACATAATCATTTTAAAATAAAAATTCTCTTAAAAATTTGATGCATTTAAGTTAATACATATATATATATATATATATATATATATATATATATATATATATATATATATATATATATATATATATATATATATACTCTTCTTTTGTTTATTTCTGGAGCTCTGAATATATACCAGTGAAGCAGGTAAGACATTTGTCTTACCAGCTCCACTGGTGAGTTCCAGAAATGAACAAAAGAAGAGTTAGTATTTAAGGATAATTTTTTCTACATGTCACACATTAGATCAAGTACACAGTGGGTACAAAACTTTTTGGATATTTAACATGAGAATTTAATAAATAAGGAAAAATTACATGAAAAATATATCGCGATGTAAGAATTATCTGGTTCTATCTCCACTTATTGAAAAAATTGAGTTATTGGTAGTGTTATACACCACAGAATAATGTTTTTTTTACTACATTTAAACCAAATTTAGTAAAATTAAGTAAATAAGTTGCAGAGAAAATATAAGTTATAAAAATGTTTTTATATTCCATCTCCTTAAGTTTTTGTTTTTTAAATCATTTTATTTCATAACTGAAAAATGTGGAGATAGGAAAAGATAATTCTAACGTCGCAATATTTTAAAAATCAAATAGCGTCGATGCAAAAATATTTGATTTTATGAATAATACAACAACATTTCATTTGTTTTAATCTGCTTTAATTGAGATTTATATTTGAATTTTATACAATGTTTTTGCAACATAAAAAAAAAAGATCCTCAAATTTTGCGACAAGAGATAAGTAGTCTAAGTCACATCTTAAAAAAGGTAAAAATACTTTAATTATCTAAATATAATTTAGAATTATTTACCACAATGTCCATTGTGTTTTCAATACGTTGTCAAAGGAATTAATGGAAACGATGACAATACACAAGTAAAAATTATTTATTTATTTTTGAAGATTTGATTAAACGTTTTAAAATTAATTTTCTACAAACATTTTTAGGTAGAGCGCCATATTGAAAGTGGGTGTAAAATTCTTATACAAGAAAAAAGAAAGAAAAACAAATGCAGTCGAAGCGGCTGCAAATTAACAAGTTTAATCCCTATTCAATGCAATAACTGTTATCAAAGCTATTGCGTGGGGTAAAACAACTTTTTATATCTATTTTTATGCATTTTGTTTAGTATTTCCTTGATAAAGAATTAAAGTTCATGACAAGTTATAATTTGTCACTTCTTAATTTTTACCATGGTCCTGAATAGTGTTTAAATCCGAATTAAATTTTTACAGATTTAAAATCGTTTTCTTACAAATAGCAATTTTTTATTACGCAACTTTTTTTCTTAAGGGTATTCAAGGGGTTTGTCAAACCAATAAATTACTTTTTAAATAATTCTTATTTAGACATCGGCACCCAGCCGATCATCGATGTGTTGGTCAGAAAAATTCACAACTAGTAGGAACTTAAAACAATGTTTAGCAAAACTACAACACAATGGGAATTTAATTCAGAAAACATTTTTTTTGAATATAAATGTTTAAAACAAAATGTTTAAAGATGTTGGTTCATTTCCAAACTATACGCAAAGCAAAGTTCGTTTATTTATCGAAAACAACGTTCTTGAAAACTACAGAAACTTGACAAAACTTGGTTTTAAGATTCACGACGTAGTAAACTCGATTTGGTGACCGGCGAAATTGACGACTGGTGAAATTAAAAGTCGGAGTTGTTTAACACAGGATGAAGAATGTCCGTGCTGGACGAATAAGAGCATAAACTTTAAAAAACGAATTAAAAAAAAAATGCTCTATATTTAAATCAAACTTTAGATAGTCTTCTTTCTAAAACAATCAAAAAAAAAAAAGTGTTTTTAGTTTTGATATTTACATTATATATATTTATATATTATATTACACTTATTAAAATTTATTTATGGAATTCTGATAATAGAACATCATATTGTTTGATATATAAAAAAATACATTGAAACCTTAAAGTAATGAGATAAGTATACACCTAAAAGATAATATATATTTTTTGTTTTGTTTTGTTTGGTGTTTAATTCAAACTTTAATTTAAATTTAATTGGTATTATCACAGGGTACCGCCGATGAGCATTTAATTGGAAGTTCACGCCTCCTTCCTAACCGATGTCGTAAAACTTGCCCAGAGGTGGGATTTGAACCACGCATGACTAAATCAAATTACAGATTCTGGAGATTATCATTGAATAGTTTGATCATTTATTTTTAGTGTTAATAGTGTTGTTATATTTTGTCTGTGGCTACAGTTACCTGATAAAATCCTCTCAGGGTCTCGGGTTTTTTTTTTTTTTTTGTATTACAAGAGAAGTATTGCTAGTATAAATAGTATTGTTTATATCAGAAATTTAACCGAGATTACAAATTTGGTTAATTCAATCAAATGTTTTGAAATAACATCTAACATTTAAAGGAAATTTACAATAGTACAAATACACGAGTAATTTACTTTATTTTAGTACAATAGCCGGCCATATATGCATGACTGATAAGGAAAGAAGGCCTGATTATTCCGCGGTGCTCTGTGATAAAATTGTTAGGACTTATCGGAGCTCATTAATAACTTAAAAAAAAAAAAAGATATGAACATATAAAATGTTTCTTCTCGAATCCCGAATAAAACAAAAGTTTATAAAAATGCCAAATGACTTTTAATTGATCAAACTGTCAAACGATTATCCCACCGAAGTTATATTAGATAAGTGTTGGAGATAATTTATCTCTTGATAGAGATAACTTTGACTTTGAATTATACAGTTACCAATAATTCAAAAATATGGTGCAAAGGAGTACAATATTTAATATAAACTAGAAGTAGACTATTTTCATTTTACTGCATCCTTTCTCAGTTACAATATCAGAATCCCTACTGTGTCCGTACTTTCGCTTCACCTTTTTATAAGTTGACAATTCGCCCGACTATACATCGCTCTACAATTAAATATCAAAATAGGTTTACAAATAAAGAATCTTTTATTTTTTGAAAAAAATACAATAAACTGTTTTTTCTTTTGTAAATACCAAATATTTTAAAAACAGTTTATTTTATTTTTTTCAAAAAAAAATAAATTACTCTGGAATAAGTTAGGATGAAAAAAAAGGTTTTTTTGTTTATCCTAACTTAACTAAAAGGTTTTTTTGTTCATCCTAACTCTGGAATATATTATGGATGAAAAAAAAGGTTTTTTTTTGTTCACCCTAACTTATTCCAGATTCTTCATTTTGGTTCATAATAAAAATCTTTTTTTTTACTTTCTAGAATAGCAAATCGCTTGTGTAACGTTTAATTTCTTTTTTTGCAAAAGAAGTTAAAATGTACATGACCGACATGTTGGCTCGCTCCAATACAAAATGAGAATATAAAATAAGCAATATCATAAACACGATGATTTAACAATGTACAATATCATTTAGTATAAACTTTTTATAATTATAAACAAATCTTCTATTATCTGATTTTTCGCTCTATGGTTTCTTACAAAGTTCTTTAACGTTCTTTTCTGATATAATAGATGTTTTTTATAACTTGTGGCTATGAAAATAGCCGTTTTTAAAAAAATTCAACAAAGAACAGCTTAAACTTCACTCTTTATTTTTATCCGTTTTTTGTTGTTATTGCAGTAGAAGTACATATCATAAGCTATAAGCAAATATTTCGCTGTATCCCTAGTGTTTTCTGCCAAGCAAGTTAGAGGTACACGACTAACTCGCGCAACTTTGTTTTCCGTCTCTGGCTTCAATAGCACTCTCAGACAAAAAACCTATCGGAGGATAAAATATCTGATAAGAAAAGCACTTTGAATTGTCGTTCTATGCACATTTTGTGACAAACACATGGTTTTTTTAATGTATTATTAGTAATAGGTGCAAATATATGTTCAGATTTCTGATTGAATATCTATACACACCCGATCTCGTAGTCGTACTGTTCATATCAATGAGTACGTCTCGAAACAACTTATTCGTTTGCTGGTCGTTTATGAAATTTGTGTACCAGTAGTGATAAAAACTCGGACTGCAAAAATATAGCGCACACGACAGCGTTTTAACTTGTAAAAATATGCCTTAAAGAAAAATCATTAAAAGTTTAAATGTTTTTTATAACCTTTAGAAATTATAACTTTAATACAAACGACTGTTCCGTATCCAGTTTTGTTTTTTATACCTGTTGAATAAACGTTTTTTTATTAAAACCCACTACAGTTGAATATCATGTTACTAGATAGTTAAAAAAATTTTTCAGTCTTTTTTTTGCAGAAAATAACAAAAACTCAGTAGAAACATAGTCCAATCAATTTATCTTTACGAACACACAAAAACAATGATCCAATCATTTTTTCTTAGTTTTAAATTAACATAATGCATCATTAATTTAATAACGTACAATAAAAATTGAAGAACTTTGGAAATTATTTTATGAAATATTAAGATTTTGTAAAGGGGTTTTTACCATTTAAAACGAAAAATCTAATAAACAATTGCCTTCCTATGCAAAACAACACGCTAGGACGACCTCGGCCCCAGGGATAGTCGCTCGTAAATAAAGGAAATAAAACGAAAAGTCCATAAAATGCTACATCAACAACAATGTAAATTGCTAAATCCATTTCTTTAAAAAAATCTATGCAAACCTGTACAAAAAAACACAAGCATAAGTTAAATCAGAGACATTTATAGTTATACGGTCCTAAAATTAAATTTTATAGAAATTATCTTATCACAACCTGGTATAACCTAGTTACAATAGAGATCCACGCGTTGAGAATTAAACAAAAACAAACAAATGAGATATTTCTATGAAAACTCGAAAGCAGAACCAAAAATTAATACATTTTAATATATATATATATTTATATACTTATATATGCAATATAAATACTTTTTAATTTATAAAATTCGTATATTTTTGTAATAGAAGAAAGTTATAATCTGGTTTAAAGACTTTAATGTCTATTGGATTTGTATAACTATCACATATTAGTTTACAGCAAATCGAACAAAAATACTATAAGCAATGCTTAAAAGTACGGGAATAAATAAATTTAACACCTGAATACAGCGACTACATTACTGTCTAAAAAACTACAAGTGTTCAGCTATTTTCATAAAAAAATTGCACTATCAAGTTTCATTTAAGAATCTGAAATCCTGAACATAATATATACAAAACTTTGTAGGATTCAAATCAGCTCTCTAAAGATAAAAAATAAATAATAGAACTAATATTAAACTATTTATTTGATTTTAAAAATGTAAAAAATTTGGAAAAAATATACTCATTATTGTACTTATTTACTAATGTTTTATAAATTATTTTCATTTAAATCATTACCTCCTGTCAACTGGTTCTGTCTATTTTGACTTCTAATGCCAGCTGCTTCATAATCAAATTCATAATCAACCCATGGTCTATTCGAATTTCCGCGAAAATTTCCATTACCACGTCCTCGATAATAAGATCCTCTTCCACGTCCTCTACCTCTACCACGCCCCCTACCTCTGTATCCACGATAACTTCCAGCACTGCTTCCAAATGTTTCTTGATTTAATGTTCGCTCTTGTCTGCGACTCATTACACTAAAAAAAAAAAAACATGAGATTTCAAAATATTACTTAAAACAATTTTTACTGTAAAAAAAATTATGAATAAAACTAAACTTACTCTTGATCACCGCCACTCGGTTGCATTGCTTCACAAGAGATATTGTCAAAAAAAGATTTTGAGCTATCATAAAATTTTTCAGGAGATGAAAGTGGTTCTAATTCATCACTTTTATTTTCACCATCATGAGTCTGTTCCACAATAACCTGTATTAAAAATTATTAAATTAGTGAAATCATTTTTATTTTCTTAAAAGTTTAAATAATTTTAATTAAACTAAAAAGTTTGAACGCACATCATCATCTTTGATTTTTACTTTCTGTAAAAATTTTAAAAGCTCTTTCTGAATTTCATCTTTGTGAAATTTAGCATTAGCAGATTCGAAGTCAAAATCTTCATTAAACTTTGTGGTATTACTTGAGGTATTTCGAACCCCTGTTCTAAAATCACCTCTACGACCACGGAAACCACCTAAAACATTAATAAAATAAATAGAAATATAAAACAGAACAAAACTATCAATTAAATTTTAAAATCAGGATAGAGCATTTCTTACTAAATACATAACAAAAAAAAAAAAATTTACAAAATTTTAGGAAATAAAAATAACTGTATTAAATATATCCAAGGGGCAAATTAGGTAATCAAAAAATTGTGACGTGTCAAATTTATTTACTAATCTTGAAAGTATATTATTGAAATTTGCTACTTTTGTAGCAGTAATTTGTTTTAATTTTTTGCGAAAAAAATTTGCGATTTGGTAAATTCAAGTTAATTTGCCCTCAATACCAAGATTTAAAATGTAATTATATACTATTTATGTCTTTTAAGAATAAAAGAAATAAATTAATCGTCTAATAATTTATTTCACCCACATCCGACATGTTTAGCGCATAGAAGCAAAAAACACTTTAATATGGGATTTTTAACTAATTGACTGCATATAAAAATTATTAAAAAGAGCATGTCATTATATGAAATCTAAATCTTTTAAAAGTAAAAAGAATTAAAGAATCAATTTAATAATTTATTTCACCCACATCCGACATGTTTAGCGCATTATAGCAATAACACTTTAATATGGGATTATACTGACCTATCATACATTTTTCAGGGATTATACTGACTAATCATACATTTTTCAGTATATGAATCAAAATTTATGAAAAGTATAACCAAATATGTTATTACATACAAATCTAATTCTTTAAGAGTTCAAGAATTAAAATGATCAATTTAATAATTTATTTCACCCACATCCGACATGTTTAGCGCATAGGAGCAAAAAACACTTTAATATGGGATTGTTCACCATATTGACCGCATATAAATTTTTTAAAAAGTTTAACAAGAAAGCATGTTATTATATGAATCTAAATCTTTTAAAAGTAAAAAGACTTAAATTGATTTATTTAACAATTTCTTTCACCCACATCCGACATGTTTAGCGCATAGGAGCAAAAAACACTTTAATATGGGATTGCTTACCATATTATTTGCATATCATAAAACTTATTTAAAAAAATAGCATGTCATTTCATAAAATTCAAATCTTTTAAAAATAAAAGAAACAGAACCATTTACTTAATAATTAATTTCACCCACATCCGACATGTTTAACGCATAAAAGCAAAAAACACTTTAATATGGGATAGTGCTAAAAGCACAATCAATAAGATCATAACTTTATTAATCACTTGAAAGAAGAAATAAAATAAAGCTTTTGAAATTACATATTTAAAAAAAGTTTACATTTAGTAGATTTTTGTAGAAAAGACTAAAAATAATATCAACGTAGATAATAAAATAATCCTAACAAAGAAATATGCAAACTCTTTATTAGTTCTGATATAAATACAAAATGAAGCATTGTTGATTATAATACTGGAAATAGCCATGATTTTCTTATTGATTTTTTGTTTCATTTAGTCCTTTATTATACAACATAAATCATCCAGATCATATTTTTAAAATACAAAAAATTTATAGGGTAAAATATCCAGAAAAAATCCGGTATATAATTATTTTTTCCAAAATTCTCTAATTTTTTTGCATGAGTGGTAAGTAAAAAAGCTTAAAAAACTAATATATTACAAAAATATACACCTAAACTTGTATGTATGGGAAAACGATTTTGGATATCCAGAAAAACTACAAGTTGAGGAAAATAACCAATTCCGAAAATATCTGGAAAAAGATAATACCTAATAAAAACATGAAAATTATGATTTAATCAGTTTCAATTTTCTACTTTTATGAGTTTCTTTAACAAATAAATTATCAACTTTCATATTTCAGCTAAATGGTTGAAACAAAGCCTTAATAGTTACTGTAAAAAAGCATAAGATTTAAAAAAGTATAAAATTTTATATCAGTGTAGGAAAAGCAATACAGTTTTATTTCAGAAGTGTGGAATTATGGAGATTCTATAAATTTTCAAGATTCTTTCTAATCTATAAAAAAATTTGTAATGGAAGACTTGCTTTTATAGAAAAAAAAATAACTTTTTATATTGCATTATTTTTAGATGTGAAAATTTTACAAAAGAAGTGGTCATGCAATTAAAAAGAATTGTAAAAAGCACGAATTCATTTTGAACAATTTAATGAACATTTACATTTAGATTCATATAAAAATTTGATTCAATCAAAAGTTCAGATTACTTGATGGAGTAATTTAATGGCACTAGCATCTTAAATAACTTGTTGTTTCAGAGTTAGTAAACTTTTAACAACACTTATGTGCTTGAATATCTTTGTATATTTAAATTTCGTTTTTAAAAATGTACTATTTAAAAATTGTTTATTTATTATGTTATTTTTTTGCTTATTCCAATTTTATTTTACTTTTTCTGTGTATAAAGATTCCTTTGTGTAATCTTTAAAGAAGTATGATTTCAAAAAAAGTAAATTTAATAGGATTAAAAACCATATTGAACAAAACTTTGAAAGTTAAATTTAAGCTTTAAAATTATCGATTAAAACCTATTCATAAACATTTTTGTAAATATGTACTAATTTTATTTGGTCGCAACTTTTAAGAAATTTATATACAATAGCTACATATATTTTTAATATTCAAATTTTAAAAATAATATTTCAACAGTCAATGTTTAGAGAGCTGGTTAATATTTTTCTGACCTTGTTCAATTCTTTTTGTTTAAGCATTTACTTTTAGGTGCATAATACAAAGGAGGGGCTAGCTAGTTAACTTAAGGAAAATATACCCACCCTGAACATAATAAGATTCATTAAATTCATTTGTTTATTATATTTCATTTATTACTATGAATTTATCTACAGATAAAAATAAAAAATTGGAATAATTAGGTTTTTAAATGTCAAATTAAAGCTAACTGATCAAAATAAAAACTTTCATTGTAATCAGCTCTTAAAAATTCACAAACAGTTAACAAGAATTCAAAAAGATATAAAAAGTTTGTATTGTAAACCAATCAACTTGTATTGTTGTTATATATTTTTGAGTTGTCTGTCCTCTCTTTGAAAAAATTTTTTCCTTTTGATTTTCAATAATATTAAATTGTATATATCGCTATGACTGCTAGTGCTATTTTAACACCGCAAGAATAAGCAAAAGAATTTCTATATTATCCATAAGCGAAAATGTTAGTCAACTATTATGAATACACTTTTAGATATGGATTTTTCATGTATGAATTTATGTATGCCAGGTTTGATTTGAGCTATTGTGAGTTGCCATATCTGGAAAAATATCTGGTCTTCAAAATTTTAGTTTATGCAAAACCATTACCTTGTTTTTATGGGGCAAATTAACTTGAATTTGTTAGCAAAAAAATTATAATAAACAAAACATTACACATTACACTTATCATTACATAAAAAATAACACAACACAAGTAATAAAACAATTTAACATGCAAAATTAATCTCGGCACTTTGCATTATTATTAAATTATACATAGCCCTTGAATTTTTACACTTTCATAAAAAGTACTAAGGTTATATTTATAAATTTTATTTATAAAATGTTACATTTTTATTGTCATATATATACTAATTATATACTATTATTAATTATATACCAATATAGATTTGGTAAAAAAAAAGTTATTAAACAACTTTTAGAAAGAAAGGCTAATAAAAAAAAACTACAAAAGTAAACTACAAATTATTTCAAAAACCATAAAATAATTTGTTAAAAACATAAAACTTTAATTCAATTTTAAAAATGTTGCCATGGTAAGGTATCGCCCATAAATTATGTAATGCAAACTTTCACAATAAACAAAATAAAAAAGATCAAAAGTTTTTCCTCACAAAGTCTTAATTTTAAAAAAAAAAACTTCAACTTCTGTTTATTAAATATATTTTGTGTTGCGTAATTTATGGACGATTCCTAATGCCAAGGTAAATGATTTTTTAAACAAATTTGCAATCAAGCACTCTGCATTTGTTTGCTGAGGCCAAAAAAGCTAAACTTCAAAGACTGATAATCACTGTATTAAAAAAATAGTAACACTATAATAGTGTCATTACATTTATAATAACACTATTATATTTAATAGTAATAACACTATTATAGCAGCCCTTGAAAAATCACAAACCTAAAAACATCTTAGGTTGGCATCAATTTGGTGCAAAATTTCAAAACAATGACTGACAAATTGACAAATGTGCAAACTTTAGCAAAGAAAATAAAATTTGCCTACATTTTGACTTTTGCTTAAAAGTATAAAAAATGAATGAAACTTTCATGTTATTGATTTTATTTTAAATATTTTATTTAGAATTAATATCTTTAGTTTTTCTACGTTATTTTAATTGTGATGTTTAAAAAAATAACACTTAAACTAGAATTAAAAAAAGGTTGCACTTGGAACTATATAACTATATATGACTATATATAACAATAGAATGTTTGTTTTGCAACTAAATATTTTATCAGGAATTTAAAAAACAAAAAATCTATTTTTCCTTTCATTGGTATTATTTGATAAAAAATTTAATTAGAATATTATTTTTTTTTTTAATTATCTAATCTCATCTAAAACTTAAATAGAAAATTTGTCTCTCTTTTAATTAACTTAGAATCTTAATAAAGACTTGGCTTAGCCTTTTCAATTTATTCAAAATAGCAAATAAAATTAAGTATTAAAATTCTGAAATTGACAAAAATTTGCTGTCCTTAAAGGGACTACCAAATCCCAAGACATGTTGTGTTCATATTAAAGAGAATGTTAAAAAAAAACATCTGAGCAAATTTTTTTGATTAAAACTTATTAATAAATGTATACCAAGAAAAACAAATCTTGTTGTTTTAGTCGAAGCTCGTCTTCTCTGTTTTTTCTGGTATTTTGAGTATGTAAAATTAACAAGATTTTCCAGGCGCATTATACAGACTTGATAATTTATTCAAGCGCGTTTAATTCAAAGGAGTTTTAGTGCATGATGTCATGAGTTTTAGTGCATGATTTATTTTTTTGTTTGTTT